CTAATTACGGGGAGAGGATTTCCAAGACATGTAGGAGGAGGAAGATGCTAGTGACTGCCCTTGGACATGGCTACAATCTCTGCAAAAACACACAGGTGACTCAGTGGGGACTCAGCTTACAATAAATGGCAACTGGTATGGAAATTTTGTATAACGTATAAATTATATTACATTATATTATTCTCCATATTACATATGTATATGAATAGAGAGAAGAGAGTTGCAGAACAATAATCAAACAGAATGCTCTAAAACTGATCAAAACAGCCCATGATGGAAAAAGACCACAGTCCATCCATCTGCTTCACAGACTGAATCTTACAATTGTGTTATCCTTCATTTCTTCTGTGTTATTCAGGTCATGTTATTCAGTCATGTATTATTCTGTTTCCAAGTGTTTGAGTAATTTCTGCATTTTGTTTTGTTGTTGAAAACAGGTTTGATTCCACTGTGGTCAGATAGGATGCAAGGAATTGTGTCAATCCTCTTATATTTGTTTGGGTCCTTTGTTTTGAAGAATGTTTCATGGGCTGCTGAGAAGAATGTGAATTGGGCCCTTGTTGGGTGGAGAACTCTGTAGATGGTTTTTTTTGTTGTTTGTTTATTTGTTTGTCCATTGTGGGGCTTGAACTCTAGGCCTGGGCGCTGTCCCTCAACTCTTCAGCTCAAGGCTAGCACTCTATCACTTGAGCTACAGAGCCACTGTAGAGGGTTCTTAAGTCCATTTGGGTTATGGTGTCATTTAGTTCACAGACTCCTTTGCATATCTTTTGTTTGGTTGACCTGTCCTTTGGTGAGAGCAAGGCATTAAAATCTCCCACTATTATTGTGTATGGGTCTATCCTGTTCCACAAGTCCAAAACTATTGTTTTAAAGCAGATTTAGGTTCCCCATTATTTGGTGCATATTGACCAGTGTGATTCACTCTTGATGGGTTATTCCCTTTATTAATATGTCATGACCTTCCTTTTCTCTTCTACTGATTTTAATAACTGGTCTATTTTATCAGATATCAATATGGCTACTCCTGCCCTCTTGCAGATACATTTGCATGGAAGCTCTTTTTCCATTCCTCACTTGGAGGTTGATTACTCCTGCCTTCTTTCAGGTATATATGCATGGAGCTCTTTTTCCATCCTTCACTCAGAGGTTGATGAATGTCTTGGAGAAAACAAATGGATGGATCTTGTTGTTTTTTCTCCAGTTTCTGCTCTTTTTCTATTGATTGGGGATTGGAGTCCATTAAGGTTTAGAGCTGTTATAGAGATATGTGTCATGTTTCCTGTCATTTCTCTTGATTTCTTGTATTTTGCTACTTTTCTCTTCCTGTCCTTACTAAATTAGTCTTCTATGGACTTTTGATACGTTTCCTGGACTTTGGATGCTTTTTTCAGATTGTATACTTTCCTTTAGTGTTCTTTGTAATGCTGATGAATTCCTTTAAGTTTTGTTTGTCATGGACAGTTTTAGTTTCACCATCAAATATAAATGATAGCTTCAGTAGATACATCAGCTCGAGTTAGCACTTCAGGGCTTGAATTATCCCAATCCAGGCTCTCCTTGCATTGAGTTTGTGTGGAGAGATCTGCAGTGATTCTGATCGTCTTTCCATTGTAATGTATCTCCTTCCTTGATTTATCAGCACTTAAAATCAATTCCTTGGGCTGGGAAGGTGGCTCAGTGGTAGACTGTTTGCCTTGCATGCATGAGGCCATGGGTTCAATTTCTCAGCACCACATAAGCAGAAAAAGCCAGAAGTGGCACTGTGGCTCAAGTGGTAGAGCACTAACCTTGAGCTGAAGAGCTGAGAAACAGTGCACAGGCCCCAGAGTTCAGGCCCCATGACCAAAAAAAAAAAAATCCTAGCTATTAAGTCTAATCTTTTTACTTGGATATCTAAAAGGGTTTCTTCTTTCTACTAGGGATCCTTTCACAAGGGGTTCTGTATGTTTCTCTCAGGTGGGTGTGATTTTCTCTCCAGATTGGGGAACATATCTTATTTGACTCGATAGGTTTTCTATGCCTTTAGTATTGAAATATTCCCCTTCATTAATCCCAATTATGCATAAATTTGATCTCTTGGAAAGTCTGCCAATTCTTGGATTTACCTTTGATAGCTTCTGAATGTTTTTTCAATACTTTTGATTTTCTGTTCAGGCTCCTCTGTTTTATCCTCAACTCCTGATATTCTCTTTTCCATTTCACTTATTCTGTTACTTTAGGCATTCCACTGTGGTTTGCAATGAGAAAATCGAGCCTGTTATGCTTCTGAGTTTTTTTGGTTGAGGGGCTTGAATGCTGGGTCTGTGTACTGTCCCTCAGCTCTTCATCTCAAGGAGAGTATTCTACCACCTGAGCCACAGTGCCACTTCCTTTTCTGGTGACTCATTGGAGATGAGACTCATGGACTTTTTTGTCCAGGCTGGCTTTGACCCGTGATCCTCATATCTCAGCTTCCTGAATAGCTAGGATTACAGGTGTGAGCCACCTGCGCCAGGTTATACTTCTGAGTTTTTTGTTGAGATCAGTTCTCACAGTGTTAACTTCGTCATTAATGAGTTACAAAATGTTTCTATTTTTATCTCCAACACTTTTTGGGAGTCCCAGATCTTTTCTGTCATTTCTTCTTTGTACACTTGAAATTGTTTTTGCATTTCCCCTTTTATTTCTTTGGCGATTCTATCATCAATTCTTTTGTCACTTCTCCTTCACTTTCCCTGTACTTTTTTTTTTTTTTGGTCCTCATTGTTCATGACTCTTGTCATCTTTCATTGTGATTTACGCATCTGGGCTCAGGGATTGCCAGAGCTATGTTATGAACTTGGTGTGCTAGCGTTTGACAAGTGGGACCCATGCATGGCCTGGGCTGCCCCCCTCCCTGGGTGAACTAGCCCACACCGGGTTCCCCAGGTGGCAAGCCCTTGCATAAGTGTGCTGGCCTTGTCCCAGGCCAACGAGTTCTCCGCTGCCAGGTGAGTACTTGGTTGTCGTGGGGAGGAAGAGGTTGGGGGGCGGGATTCAGGCCTCTGGGTTGGGCATGAGGCTTTGGGAGGGGTGGGCTTCCAAAGCTGCATGGGAGTTTGTGTTAACTTCAAACCGGTAAGTTTGTGCTGCCAATAGCCAGTGCTGTGGATGACCCAGGGTCTTAGTGCCTTTCACTGTGAGTCCTGGTGGTCTTCCACTGTAAGCCAACAGGTGGGGGGAGGGGAGAAGAGCTCTGCCCTCTTTGTCTTCTTCAAGTGAGGTATCCTTTCTTGGGTGGGAGAGAAGGGTCCAAGCCCAAATCTCAGGGTTGCCACGAGCAGTGTTCTCCCATGGAGAAAGGGTCCCCGGCAAGGTACTCAGTGATCTGGAGGTGGTTATGGGCTGATGGCAGTGATGTGAAAGCTCTTTGGGTCTGGATGTCCCAGTCACAAGTTGCTGGTCTGTGTCACTGTCTGCACTAGCCAGGCACCAGGTCTGGGGCAGTTTTCTGTGTCTGGATGCTGCAGTCTCACTGGTCAGGTCCCAGGGTCCAGGTCAGCCATGGTGCTGCTCTTGTGGCCTAGCAGCCTTGTTGGCACTGAATGAGGGGTTAGGGGAAGGTGCTTTGTGGTTTTCCAACCTTGTAGCATACCAGTTATGAGCAATTTTCCCTTCTGTTCCTGTTTCTGTATTTGTATACACATTTTTTTTGTTCTCAATCTTGTGGGAAGAAGTATATGTTAGGACCCTAAATCTCTGGATATAGACAGCTAGGGTTTTTCCCTATCGCTTTGCTGACATCTTGTCTCCAACAAAGTACTTTTCAAAAGTATGCCTTAAATTTCAATTAAGGCCAGTACTGGTGTTGTTATCTTCTCAGGAAGTTGAGGTTTGAGGACTATGGTTTCTGAGCAGACAATCTGAGTCTTTTCTCTCATTAACCAGCAAGAACTAGTAGTGGAGGTGTGGCTCAAGAGGAAGGGCACCAGCCTTGAGCAAAATAGCTAAGGGATAACATCCAGGCACTCACAAACTCTCCTGCCTGGGTTGGCTTCAAACCACAGCCCTCAGATCTCAGCCTCCTGAGATGACAGACGTGAGCCACCAGCACCCAAAAATTGTTCTAGTTATTATTAGAAATATCTATAAATTGTATTTCTTTGCTTGTTTGCTTTTTTTTTTGGGGGGGGGGTCTGGTCGTGGGGCCTGAACTCTGGGCCTGGGCGCTGTCCCTCAGCTCTTCAGCTCAAGGCTAGCACTTTACCACTTGAGCCACAGCGCCACTTCAGCTTTTTTCTTTTTGCTTATGTGATGCTGAGGAATCAAACCCAGGGCCTCAGGCATGCAAGGCAAGCGCTCTGCCACTGAGCCACCTTCCCAGCCCTATAAATTATACTTATGTAGTATGTTGAATACTGCTTCATAGGAAACATTGGATATGCAACCACATATATTTCAATATAGAAATATGTGCTGGGTGCTGGTTTTACCACTTGTGTGGCATTGCTGTTTTACTACATTGTACCCTCACAATGTGGACAGCACTGGGGAGAGTTTAGAGGTTCCAAAAGCTGTGTCAGGGGCTGGGAAGGTGGCTCAGTGGTAGAGTGCTTGCCTTGCAAGCCAGAGGCCCTGGGTTCGATTCCTCAGCACCACATAAGCAAAAAGAAAAAAAGCTGGAAGTGGCTCTGTGGCTCAAGTGGTAGAGTGCTAGCCTTGAGCTGAAGAGCTGAGGGACAGTGCCCAGGCCCAGAGTTCAGGCCCTACAACCGACCAAAAAAAAAAAATAAAAAAAAAAAAAAAACCAGCTGGGCACTGGCGGCTCATGCCTGAAATTAAAGCTACTCCAGAGGCTAAGATCTGAGGATCGCAGTTCAAAGCCAGACCAGGCAGGAAAGTCCATAAGACTCTTATCTCCAATAACTTACCAGAAGACCGGAACTGACACTTGAGCTCAAGTGGTAGAGTGCTCGCCTTGAGCTGAAGAGCTGGAGAACAGAGCCCAGGCCCCAGAGTTCAATCACCATGACAAAAAAAAAGAAGTTGCAAAAAGTATAAGAAGTGGAATGTCCAGCCATAGCTCTAGGTGTGCATCTGAAGGAAATGAAGTCAGAGAATAAAAGAGATGTCGGGGTACTGCACACCCACCATTAGCTGGAGAGCCAGCCTGGACCACTTCAATGGACACAGGAAATGCAGTGGAGACACAGAATAGCATATTGCTCTGCAGGACAGGGCACAAATGGACACATTCTAAAGTCCTTTAGGGCTCACAGCAGTGACACATTTGTTTTCCTACAGAAAACTTCCATTTGTGCCCAGGTTCCCCAGTTCCATCTCTGCACATCTGAGCTCTTACCTGCACTCACACCTTTGGCGCCTTCCCAACCATTCAGCTCTCCTGGAGTTGTCACATGGCTCTGTGCCACCCAGGGCTCTTCCTCCAGCTCCAATGGCAAAATCACACTCACGCTGGGAGGAGAGACTCCTGTTGATAGAAAGACAACCCACTGTGGCCTTTCCAGAATCCCCAGTCCCACGCTCATAGGAAAAGGGGACATCACACATGGATGCAAAATACAGTTCACATATTCAGCAGACTGCCTCCATCTGAATGCTTCAGAGCACACTTTAATGTGCAGACAGCAACGCAACAACTACTGAGTCAGAAGCACAAGGAAATCCATTCGTTCAAAGTCTGAAGTGGGCTGAGTGTGGTGTCATCTGTATGTAATCCCAGCACTTAGAGGATCAGTGGCAAGTTCAAGCACAGCCAGAGCTATAAAGGGAGACCTTTTCTCAAAAAAAAAAAAAAATGATGAGGAAGAGAAAGTGGAGGAGAGGAAGGAAGGACTGCCATAGTGCTTGATATGTAACACAGTGATGAGAGGACCTGCCTAGCATGTACAAAGATCTAGAGAGAGAGGGAAAGGAAAAGAAGAGTGGAGAAAGGAAGGGAAGGTGAAGGGAAAAAAGGAACAAAGGAAAATGGGAGACAAGCCTGCAAAAGCTGACATGTACAAGTGCTCACTTAAGCTGTAGGACACAAGAGATAGGACAAAAGAAGGTTATTAAAGTCCAGAGGCCATGTTAGCATGTTTCTGTCCCTGAGTTGGTGGACTTTTATGTCTAGTCAAGGAACGTGGGACTCTCCAGGCAGCACTCAGGGGAAACCTAGGCCAAGAGTAAAACTCCCAACTTGTGCAGGGAGGGGTGCTCACCCACGGAGACTAGGTTCCTGTAGGTGTCCAGCATGACGTCCCTGTACAGAGCGCGCTGAGCCGGGGTCAGGCACCGCCACTCCTCCTGGGTGAAATCCACCGCCACATTCTCAAATGTCAACTGTCCCCAAGGAGAAAATCCAAAAGCATTTCACACACATCCATGGACTCAGAAAAAGTATTACATGGAATTATAATCAATGCCTACCATCAAAAAGCAATCAGGGAAACTTCAGGATTTTACAATTTGTAAAAGTTCTTTGATATGACACCCAAAGCAAAAAAAAAAAGGACATGGAATTGTACATCCCAGCATTCTTCAGAGTTAGTGGGGGAGTATGATGAACACGCCTAGAATCCTAACCAGTCCAGGAGCCCGAGATCTTAGGATCAGGGTTCAAGGCCAACTGGAACAGAAAAGTTCATGAGCCTCTTTCCTCCAATGGACTACCAAAAAGGCCAGAAGTGGAGCTGTGACTCAAGTGGTAGAACAGCAGCCTTGAGCAAAAGAGCTCAGGACAGCACCCAGGCCCTGAATTCAAGATGCAGGACTGGGTGCTTGGTGAGGAAGGGGACCAAAAGCTGAAAAGAAAACTAGCAGAGAGATTTCAGCAAGCACACAGGAACACTTGATGGGTGATGCTCTCCTGTGCCCACACCCAGTGGAGGGGACAAGGCTGAGGGAAGGCATGGGGGACATGAGCACACATGGCAGGCAGACAAGCACCAGCACAGTCAGAGCCCAGGCCAACTCTGTGCACAGGAAGGAGACACCACACAGCTTTACCTGAGTCAGAGCCGCCATCCCTGCTCCTTGTCTTTCCTCTTCCTCCTCAGGTAATACCACTTTCCAGAAGTCAGTCCTGAGTGCCGAAAATATCCCGTTTAGTGCTCACACCCAACATGTACTCTCTGTGCCCTGGCCACAGCTCAGGGAGAAGATGGTCCTGTGCTGCCCACTCATGGGGTGATGGTGAGTGCCAGTCCTGGGAATGGAACTCAGGAACTGGGCCCTGTGCCTGAGTTTGTTTACTCAAGGCTGGTGCTCTACCACTTGAGCCACAGCTCCACTCTTGCTTTTGGCAGTTAATTGGCGCTAAGATTCTCCTGGAGGAGTTGAAGCACCACAGCTCCTGAACAGAAAAACATCAGATACCAAGTTCCCCAGTCTGTACCCTAAAAACAACAACAACAAATGTATGGGACATTCCTGCCCAGGCTGACTTCAAACCTCCATCCTCACATCTCAGCCTCCTGAGTGGCTAGGCTTACAACCATGGGCACTGCTCCTCTCCTTGTAACCCATGACCCCTCTTTCCCATGGACCAAATGGCTCTGCACAACTACAAATCTTTCTCCTCTCCTATTCGGAAGTGCTCCCACATTTCCTGCACCGCACCACCTATGTGATGTCTTGGATTCTTCTAGAGATGGAAATTCTGAACTTCTCTCTTTGTTTTCCTCTCTGCTGTTCCCTTTGTGGCTTTTGCTCTTTCCATGGATTCTTTGCAAAGCCTTCAGCGCACTCTCTACTTTGCCACCAGCTGTGGGGGCTCGCTCTCCTTTTCCTGTTTTCCTGATTTCTTGTCATTCTTTCCTTCTGATGATCCTTTGCCCTTCCCACAGCCCCAAGTACAGGCCCGGTATAAGAAGGCAGGCCCCAGGTTGCCCCTTCCCCACTCCGAGGCTGGCCTGGGGTAGGCTGAGGAAGGGCCAGCGCAGGGGAGGATAGGGGTGGGGAGGGTGGACCTGATGAGCTTGGGCCGGGTCTCAGGACCACAGAGATCAGCGATGGGGGAGCTTGGCCAGTGACTGAGCCAGGCCCACTGGGACGGGGACCAGGGATGGGGGCCCGATGTGGGGGTGGAGCCGACGGTCGGGGCCGCGGCGGGGGTCGCCGCGTGGGCAAGGCTGGGGGTTAGGGCCAGGCCGGGGGTTGAGGAAGGGACAGTGCAGGTGCAGGGGGTTCGCGGACGGTACGGGGATGGAAATTCGGGGCTGGAGGGCCGCGGCTGGGGCCGGGAGTCCGGGGCCTTTGTCCGGACGCCTTGGCCTGGGGCCCGGAGGCCGGGGTCTGGGGCCGGGGAAGGGGAGCGGGCGGGTCCCAGACCCCCGGCCGGGCCCGGAGGACCAGGTGGAAGACGGTGCCGGGGGCCGGGGACCGAATGTCTGACATGGGGCCCAAGGTCGGGGTCGAACAGGAGCCGAGAGGAGCCGGGGCCGCGCCCACCCCGCCCTCGCCCCCGCGCGCAGTGACGCGGGGATGCCCGGGTCCGAACGCCACGGTCGTGCCAGGGCCGGCGGAGATCAGGGAAGACCGGCCGGCGACCCAGGCCGCCGGGCAGGAGGGCCGCGCGGGGGTTCCGGAGACCCCTACCCCGTCGTGGGGGCTGCGGACACCGGGACGCAGACTTACTCTGGCTCGGGAGACTCGTGGTCTGCACCACGAACTTCCTGTCACGCCATCCGCTTCCTAGTCTGAGGCGAGCTGCGCGCGCAGAAAGCGAGGAGGGCGGGCTTGGGGGGCGTGGCAAGCAGGGTGGGAGCCTGCGGCGGGGGCGGGGTGATCTGTGTGAGGCTTAGGAAGGAGCCAATGGAAAAGTGGAATGGGCGCCGCCAGAAGGAAACCCAACCTATTGGACCAGTACTGGGGCGTGCTCTGGCCTGGGCCAGAGAGCAAGTGGGCGTGGCCTACCTGGAGTGAGAGTGGCAAATGGGTGGAGTCAGGGGACACTCCAGGCTTCGGAGGATGCTGCCTGGGCGGGGCCTGGGTGCGGAGGCGGGCCTGGTTGGGGGGGTCAAAGTCAGGGTGTTGAGGCGGGCTTGGCGCTGGGGGCGGGGCCAGAGTGCTGAGGCGACATGGTGCTGAGGGCGGAGTCTTCGTGCTGAGGCGGGCAGATTGCTGGGGGCGGAGTCAGGCTGCTGAGGCTGGCGGGTGCAGTGGGCAAAGGCAACGTGCTGAGGCAGGTAGGGTCCTGGGGGCGGAGTCAGGGTCCTGAGGCGGGCCAGGTCCTGGGAGAGGAGTCAGGGTGCTGAGATTTCGGGGTGGAGGGGGCGGAGTCAGGGTGTTGAGGTGGGCAGGATGCTGGGGGCGGAGTCAGGGTGCTGAGGTGGGCCAGGTGCTGGGGGCGGAGTCGGTGCTGAGGCGGGCCAGGTGCTGGGGGCGGAGTCAGGGTGCTGAGGCGGGCCAGGTGCTGGGGGCGGAGTCAGGGTGCTGAGGCGGGCCGGGTGCTAGGGACGGAGTCCGGGTGCTGAGGAGAGAAGAGTGAGTTGCTGCAAAAGAAGAGAAGGCGATAAGGAAGCCAAAGGAGGGAGAAGAGAAAGGGACCGAGGAGAAGCAGATGGGGAGGAAAGCAGAATGGAGAGGAGCGAGGAGAGACAGAGAGGATAAAGAGAGAGGTAAGATCAGAGGGAGCAGAATGGAGAGAGGGGAGAGGGGAATGGAGGGGAAAGGGGAGAAAAGACAGAGAAGAGAGAGAGAGGGAGAGGAGAGAGACCAGAAAGGGTGTGAGGAGAGGAGAGGTGCTACAGGGGAGAGGAGAAAGAAGGAAAGAGAGAGAAGACAGGAGAGAGAAGAGTGGAGAGGAGAAAGAGAAGAGAGAGCAAAGGAGAAGAGGAGAGAAGACAGAAGGTGGCAGCAGAGAGGAGAGGAGAGACAGCCAAGAGAACAGGACATAGAGGAGGAGAGAGGAGCCAGGAGAGAGGGAAGAGAAAACAGGGAGAGAGGAAAGAGCAGAGAGGGAGCAGAGAGAGGAGCGGGGAGGAAAAGGGAATGGAGGGAATGAGAACAAAAAGGGAGAGAAAAAGCAGGGCATACGCATCTGTGGGGCACAGGCCCGGTGGGGTTCTGAGATTAGAGATGAATGTGAACAGTTCCATTGTTTAGACATATGTCATTTGCAGAGAATAGATGGACCTAGAAGGGACCATGTCTCGTGAGGAAAGCCAAGCACAGAGAGACAGGGCGCACATCTAGTCTATGTGGAAGTTAGGTCAACAGTATAAGTGGACATGGTAAATTACACAGGATGCTAGACATTGCGTGCGCGTGCACACACGCGCACACATCAAGTCAGACTAAAGGAGGATCCCCTTAGGGGAGGAAATCAATGGTGTGAAGTTTCTGTTTATTTTTTGGTTGGTCCTGGGGCTTGAACTCTGGACCTGGGCACCTTCTGCACTGCAGATAACAGCCTTACACATAAGACGAGCCTGGCACATGGCTGCCATTGTGAACAGAATGGCAGAATCCGCAAGGGCCAAACATCACAGGAAGGTTTGGAGAGGTGCTCACACCAGATGAGAACATTCTGGGTGTGTAACTATTGACCAGTGCCTAGGATAGGGGTCATTTTGCTTCGGTTCCTAAGGCATACCAGCTCATAGTCTGTGAAGAATATAGAAGTTGTCACCCATTTCCCCCTGAGTTGCAGGGACTCAGCTGTGCTCTACAGTGATGATCCAGTCTTAGCCAAAGCCTCTTAGCCCTGGTCAATGATCAAGTATTTCAGGTGAGACACACAGGATTTGGAGATGCTAGGCTCCGTTGCCATGGTACCCACCAGCATCCCATAGCCTGTGTCCCCAGGCAGGCTCACCAGCTCCCTGCATGGTGCCCTGTGCGTGACAGCAGTGATGTGGCTGTGGGAATGACCTTCAGACCGCAGTTATAGCACGGACCCGAGTGCAATTCCTATCTTCTCTGCCATCCCCTGTCTGTCCCGTGTGGGGTGCAGGCTGACACCCACAGACTCCATCCTAGAACATCTGAGGATCCCTCACCCTTGTCTCCTGAGCAGAGCTGCTCCCCAAGCACTGCTGGAGGTGCGGGTCACACCACAGACATGCTCTTCATGACACTCACAATGGGTTCCGTGGAGATAATCCTATGAGACACCAGCAGAGAATCAGACAGGTGCAGGAGCAGCAGCTCCAGCCCCTCCAAGTTCTTCCTGGAGTCCAGACCTCCACGGACATCCTGCTGCCCTTGAGTACCTGGGCTGCTTGCACATGCCCAGCCAGTTTCTGGTGATCACAGCGGCTATGGTTTCCAGGTGTTTTGCAATGTGAGTCCCTTTCTGCCCCTGAACCAGGACTTGAGTGACTCCTGCCTCTGCTTGGCCAGGATCAGGAAGAGGAAAATCTTCTTACTTCTCAGGACACATGGACAATTGCTGTGTGTGCAGCTCTCAGTTGTCCTTTTCACATCTGTGTGGTCTTTGGGCTGCAAACACTGGAGGCACCCCTCAAGCACATCCCAAGAACTTAACACCCTCCTTCAGAACTGTATTTCTTTTCTCAGTAGTGGTGCTTGAACTCTGGGCCTGGGCGCTGTCTCTGAGCTCTTCAGCTCAGGGTAAGCACTCTACCACTTGAGCCACAGCACTTCCGGTTTTCTGGTGGTTATTGGAGATGAGAGTCTCAAGGAGTTTCCTGCCTGGGCTGGCTTTGAACGGTGATCCTCAGATCTTGTTTTGCTGGGACTCACTAGCCCCCAAAGACCACCAGATACCAAGATCAAAGTAAGCAACGAAAGAGTCATTTATTGCAAGCTTGAGCTTAGTCCTCTGCACATTCAGTAACTGGTTGACGCTAAGAGGCCCTGAGCATAGAATCAGAACAGCTTATATAGTATTGAACAAACAACTTCAAGGAACTTTTACATGAGAAATTACATGATTGGTTGACATTTCAAAGCAAGGTAAGCTGGACAAACATGATTGGTTAACATTGTTATTGATGAGAATTGTCTGACTACTGGATCATGGTGTCCTGCATATGGCCACCCCGTGTCTGACTGATGCATCTGGAGGAAATTCTTGTGGTTTTTCTCAAGGATTATTTATGTCCCTAGTTGCCCAAGAATTGTTTTTCTCTTTGTGTCATTCCTGGGTCAGGCTCATGGTCAATTCCATGACTCATACCTCACAAGATGGTTACTGGCTTAAAGATGGAATCACTCAGGCATCAGGCTCTTCATTCCCCCCTTTCTGACATGCACCTTAAGGGCCAATCATGGTCCTTATGGGCACACATCACATTCTCCATTGGGAACCAGTTGATATTCAGCCTTTAAGACCATCAGTTGTACAGTGTTAATGTGTTTTCTAACAAACATCACTAGCCGGTTTACAACACATGGCCCGAATGTGAGTACCAGCACCACTAAGATGATGGGGCCCAGTAAGGTGGATATCAAGGTGGTCAACCAAGGAGAGTAATTGAATCATGAATCAAACCAACCTTCCTTCCTGCTGTTTTCTTTCCCTTTTTCATTTTGCTAGTCCTTCAATCTTAGCCCCCTGAGTAGCCAGTATTCCAGGTATGAGCAACCAGGGCCCACGCTCAATTACTTTTTTTAACAGCATAAATGACGATGCAATCAAATGAGATTAAGAATAGAAAATGAGGGGCTGGGAAGGTAGCTTGGTGGAAGACTGTTTACTTCACATGAATGAGGCTCTGGGTTCGATTCCTCAGCATCACATAGCAGAAAAAGCCAGAAGTGGCACTGTGGCTCAAGTAAGTGGTAGAGTGCTAGCCTTGAGCTGAAGAGCTGAGGAACATCGCCCAGACCCAGAGTTCAAGCCCCACAACCAACAAAAAAAAAAGAATAGAAATTGAAATATTTAGGCATATTCTCAAGAATATGTAGGTCCTTGAACACCATACCCATTGCGGCACGATTCACCACAGCCAAGAAACAACCCAGAAGCTCCATGGTGTCTGCAGAGAAATGAGTGACACTGGTCATATAGAGCAAAGTCAGCAAGTTCAGAGCAGTGGAGTCACAGGCTCAACTGTGGATGAATGCATAAAGAAGATGTAGCCTATTTCCATCACAAACTAAGACTAAGCCAGGAACAAGAAGGAAATCCTGTCATCTGCTGCCACATCTGTGGAAGTAGAGATTGTTGTGGAAAATGCAAAAAATCAGACACAGAAAGGCAAATGCATGTTCTTGAAACAGACAAGAACAGGGCAGAGGAATTGTCAGCAAGACCAGAAGGGTCCAGGTGAGGAATGGAGTCACATACAATGAGGTAAACCAGAAACCCAGGGTGAGGAGTCACTGCTGATCCTCTCCTGAGCACAGTGACAAATTCCTGCTTCAAAATCACCACTGATAACAATGAAAATGGGTAGTGATTTAGAGAATTAAGCTACCTCCTCAGAAATGACCAGGCATGAAAAGAGATCGCTCTTCACCCTGCTTTCAGGAATGTCCTTTGAAGGCCTACATCCAAGTCCCTTATGGGGTCTCTAGGAATGAAAACATTTTTAGAAAAATGATGATTAGGCTGGGAAGGTGGCTCAGTGGTAACGCGCTTGCCTTGCATGCATGAGGCCCTGGGTTCGATTCCTCAGCACCACATAAGCAAAAAGAAAAAAAGCCGGAAGTGGCGCTGTGGCTCAAGTGGTAGAGCGCTAGCCTTGAGCTGAAGAGCTGAGAGACAGTGCCCAGGCCCTGAGTTCTGGCCC